CAGGATTGTCGCGACAGAGCCCCCAGTTTTGGGAGTCGTTCTTCCTTTGTTTTTAACTCTTTATCTATTTGGGGTTTTATCAAACATTTAATCTTGGATGATCTTTGATAGCACCATGAATCCTTTACTTGGTGTTAAACTTTGTATTGCTTGAACAATTTTATGTTTATAAATGATGAAGTATGTTTTGTTTATGATTGTTTTGTTCATGGTTTAAATATTTTACCTTAGCACTGTAAGAGAATCGAGAGATAGCCTTGGGTTTTGGTAAAACATGTCTTGGCATTGTAAGAGCATCGAGAGATAGCCTTTTGTCTAGATAAGTGATTCTTACATTCGAGAGAATTAAGATAGATCAACGTGAGCAATGGAATGAATCCGGGATAGTGAAGTTCTAACTTGTCTACCTTAGATATAATGAGTGAGTTTCAAACGACTAAAAGGGATATATGCTAGAGTAGGAGAGACTACGTGTATAGTTAATGCAGAGAGGTATGGCCGTAGCAACCGTCTAAGAATACCTAGTAATCCTGTCGGGCAGTTTTAGTGAGTCATAATAAGTCATTCTAAACTGAGAATATTTGTTGTCAAGACAATGGTTTAGCATAAGTGCTCTGTGACACGTCTGAATATGAGAGGTTGTTTGCATTATATTTAAATCATCAATTGTTTTATTAGTCTGCATATTAATTTTGCCTCAACCAAACTTTTCTAGAATCATTGAATCATTTTCTTAGTTTATTAATATTAGTTCTTAGGATAATACTTAGTAGGACTTAGTTTGTGACATTAGTTCTAGTTGTGGTGAAAATATATTTCTAATCTAATCCCTGTGGAGACGATACTCACTCACTACTATATTACTTGCATCGATTGTGTATACTTGCATAGATTTACTTGCCTTAGAATATACATTTACAAGCGATCAGCGAGAAACCCATCAGTAGCTAGGGTTTCTCTCCATCCTCTCCAGCCACCAACTCATCTCAATCGCACGATCATGGACAGATCTAAAGGCCAGTAATGAACCAGCAAAACCTTAGGGTGCTCATTGCAACCCTAAGGTCTATTCCAGCCACCGCCTCTAGTAGATCCAATCCAGTGCTGCCACGATGATTGTTGCCTCACCAAAGCACTCCAGAAGGCTATAGAAAACGAATACATACCGTACAACACATCGGTCTATGGTGAGTCACCACCGTAACTCCGATGACTCATCAGATCTTGTCATCATTACACCGATCTTTGAGGCCTATATAAGGCGCCCCTGTAACAGTAAAGAACAAGAACAGCAATAGAGAGAACACAAAAGCAAGAATCCACACTTAAAAATAACACAGAGAGCAAATAGAAGGCTACCACAACGATCCATAACAGCAACAAAAAGTAAAGAGAATGAAGCAATGAAACTTACGATCGTCGAAGTCCAAACGTTATCGAAAAAAAGATTTTACCGAAGGTAAAAATCTTAGATTTAGGCTTATTGAAGGATTTTTAGAGAAAAATGAAGTTGGATTCGAGTCGAGGGGGTGTTGATCTACACTTAGGCTAGAGCATCTCTCGGTTTAGAGAGAGGGAAACGAGAGAAATGAGAGCACTTGGCTCTTTAGGGCCAAATTCGAGTCATTTATACCCTCTCCCATACGGCGTCGTTTTGTGAGAGGGGCTTCTATGTAATTTTCGCACGGGCAAATTATGTATGTAGTCCCTCAGGTTTTGTAAGGCTTCAATTTTGGTCACCGAATCAGGTTCTTACACATTTGAATTTCGTCTTCAAATTTTATTTTATTTTATTTTAGTCCATATCCGTATATTTATATATTTTAGAGTAAAATTATGCATTTAGTCCCATAAATATTATTATTTTATATTTTAGTCCCATATAATAATTTAGGAAAAAAATACATAATTAGTGTACAACTTTAGTATTATTTTGAATTAAGTTAATTAATTTTAATATTTTATGCTTTAAATATTAATTATTATTATATGATTAATTATACTTTAAGATTATTATTATTAATTTATAATTTGATATTAAATATTATTATAGGACTAATAATATTTATATTAAATATTATTTGATATTTATATGAAACTTTAAATACAAATCTATCATTTACTGCAAAGTCACTAATTAATAAATACCGGTACCAATTTTGGGCATTGTGGGAATGCTAATTCTTTCGCATATGGAACCGACTCCCGATCTCATTTTTCTGGTAAGCAGACCCGAGTTGTATTATTTTAATATTATTCTTAGAAATTTTTATTAATATAATATGACAGTTTGGTGACCAATCTCACCAAATTAAAAGATTGGTGGCGACTCTACAATTTGGTGTTTCATCTTATTCAAGGAAGATAAACACTTACTTTTTTATACTAGTTACACCGTTCGGGGTGTACTATTTGTACTCTCCGTCGCCAGGGCAGAGAAACGTCTCGACACCTTAGATATCTTATTGGAATATAATCTCATTTATCCATAATGTAAAAAAATTTTGATATGGTTTGAGCTAATGTATTTACCAAATTATCACATATATATTATCAACCCTAAACAAGTTGTGAGATTGTTTAGTAGAATAATTAGAAAAGGAGTTATACAATTAAAACTATTCATTTTACTAAAATTAGTGAGTTTATATTTCAGACTATTAAAGATCATATCGTCTATCAGACTATTAAAGATCATATCGTCTATCAATTGAAATTAATATTACAATCCCTATTGTTTATGAATAAAATAATTTGACATTTTTTTATGAGTCATCTCCTTTTAATATCCAAATCATGAGAACAAACTTCTAATATATATAAGATATTCCATATATAGTAGAATTTATATGCATCTCAATAAGTTATAATAGATATTCCTCCTTGTGATTGACTTTTGATAAGAAGACATATTTTTCATTTTAGAACTTTTTAGTTGTTATTGATATGTTCAAATTGCTCCACTATAAAACACAAAAATTGATATTTGAAGAAGGTGAAGAATGTATACATATATGTTTATGAATCTCAATTTATTAAATATCTTGAACATAATTAGAGATTCAATTATGATTTGAATTGTTTATTATTCTATTCTTATTATATAATTTTTCAAACATTAGGATGAGAGAATAATCATCTGGATAGAAAAGTTAAATGAATTATCATTTTGTGCATATCCTCGCACATAGTGATGCGAATTAGAAGTTCATACAATAATTCATTATAAGTTAATTGTCAGAAATATTTACTGACCTAATGAGGATAACCAAGTCTTGTATACCAACTTAAAATGCTTTAAGTTTAAATTAAAATCTCATAAGGATAACATGGTCTAGAGTAAATGAATATAAATCATGCATAAGTGTAATAGTTGAATTGATTCCAATGGTCAAAATTTTCGTAAATGAAAACTAGTATAAGATGGTTATGTGGTGGAGACAGATACTCCTTAAGAGATCCAAGACATAACTAACAATATAACTCTAAAAGAGTTTTAGATACTTGAAAATGAAAATGAAAATAATGAAGAGAAATTGATAGGGTATGTCATTACGAGAAAAGAATGAAATCAAAACAGAAAAGTAGTCGGGAACGATTTTACAAATTGTGTTTCTATAAAAGTAAAGAAATAAAACAAAGATCTTGACTTAAATCTATCAAGAATATAGATATAAAAATGATTTTTCAAAATGGAAAGACGTTATTTAAATGAAGTTAATAAATTTTCAAAACATAAACAAGTAGTCCAAACACTTAAAGGTGTAATGCAAGTGAGATATAAATGACTAGTCATAAGATATAAAACATGACTTGAATTCTAAAGAATTTTAAATTACTTCTTAGAAATTTATTGGAAATTTGTACAAATATGTTTTCTTAAATATTTAGGGAATGAGTCAGTGTAAGTGTATATGATATACCTAACTCAATGAATATTTTTTTGAAGGTTATAAAGATAATCTGATTTGCACATGTGTTTTTATAAAGACATTGTGATCAAAATATGTTAATTGCTTTGCATGAGGTAAATCAAGAATGTGTTTAAGATAAAACTATTGACCCAACATATACATAAGATATGTGATTTCTTTCTACATGATAAGATATCAACTATCTTGTACAAAGATAATGCGGAATGTATAACTCAATTAAAAAGAGGATACATCATAGTAAACAGATTTTCCTAAAGTCTCTTCCCTCATGATCTTCAAAAGAATAGTAATATAAATATTTGATGAATCCGTTTAAGTGATAATTTGAAAGATATATCCATCAGTGCATTATCTATTTTAGAATTTGATGATTGTATTCAAGATTGAATTGTAAAGACTCAAAGATATTATGTGATATTGTCATGAGGGAAATAAATACCCATTGTATTTTTTTCATTAACTGTAGTTTTGTCCCACTAAATTTTTCTGATTAGATTTTTATGGAGACAACATGTTATGTGTATTAGAGATATATGTATTTTTTCCCTTCATTAATTTTTTGCTCACGGAATTTTTATATTAGTAAAGTTTTAACGAAACATATTGTCTTCATTGACATCCAAGAGGGATTGTTATAAATATTTATTTATGTGGATGTCTATTATGATTAGAACATTATGTATTAAATATGACTTTAATATACTTTATTATTAAAATTAGAGTTTTAGGGTATGTTTACTCTTTGGTACATATAAATATAGAGTTTAGAGAAAATATTATATACAATTCAAATTGAAATAATAATATACGATTTCTTTATTTATTTTTATATTTTTCTCTTATTTTCTTATAACTATTTTTATTTAATATCAAGAATTAATATTTAATATGTTATCAATAAATATTTTAATTTCAGGAATACTATTTAATAATATTATAATTTTTTTTTACACTTTTATATTTCTAAAATAATCAATTTAATTTTCCTTGTGGAATTTTTCAACTCCACTCAAAATGTATGGAATAGTTTTCCATAAATAAAATCCGACTCCGTTTCACAAGTCATATTAACTTCATTGACCTTTTCTTTGCCTCCGCCGCTCCACATGGACCAACAGCCACCACCGCAGCCATCTCCTTCCACCGTCCCCGCCGCACTGACCCCTACTCCTCCCAACGCCACCGCTTCTTCTAGTGACCCGTCTCAACAGCAGCCACAACAACAACCTCCACTATCACAACCACCAACGCCGTCGCCGCAACAGCCGCAGCTATCGCAAACGTCACAAATTCAACAACAGCCAAGCCAACCCTTTCCCTCAAGAACGCCCTCAACGTTCCCCAGCCCTAACCTAAACCCAAAACCCTTACCAAAACCCCAACAGCCACCGCAGCCGAGACCAGCACTCTCCGCTCCTCAGCCCCGAATTGCTGCCACATTCTTACGTCCGTGGCAGCAACAGTCTTCCCATTTCATCAATTCCTCTTCCTCTTCTCCCTCAGTCACATCGACCCCCGCGCCAACTCTTTCCTCCCAGCCGAGAGGCAGCATTAACCTAGGTGCTCCATCATCCCATTCTAGCCCTTCTCCTCCATCTCCATCTCCTTCCCCTTCACAACCCTCTCCGTTTTCGGGTTCCTTTGGCCATTCCTTCACTGGGGCCTCCAGTTCCAATGTTTCCCAGGTACGGGGCTTGTAAGATTTTGTTTTCTTTCTAATTACAAATTTTAAGTTTTTGATGTTAAAGTTTTGTTCTTGATTCGATTTTCCTAACAGTCTAGGCCACCAATGCAAGGAATGACAATTGGATCACATTCACAAATGAGGCCACCTGGAATTTCTGCCCAACATCAACAAAGACCTCTACAATCATCTCTTAGACCACCTTCTTTGCCAAATAGCCAATCCCCTGCTACCCAAGTTAGTAACCCTGTCAAAAAATTACATATGTTCTTTTAATTATTTGTTGTCTTTGTAAAATTTTGTTTATTTTTAAATTGCAGTGAAATGGCATTGGAAACAGTAGAGTATGTTCCAAGACTTCAGAATGTTTTAGAATTTTAACAAACTGAATTAAGGAAATTGTGTTTCTTTTTAACCTGAGTTTGAATATCCTAGAAGTAGGTTGAATAAGCTGTTTAAGTATTTTGTAAAGATGGTTAAAGTGCTTCCATTTTATTGATTAGTATCCCTTTTTATTATTATTATGAATGTTGGGTTTCTGGCTTGTAACCGATTTATATCTTTTGATATTTGGTAGAATTTCCAAGGGCATGGAAGTATGCGAGTGTCAGCTGTTGGTTCTTCGACACCAAGTACATTGCAAACTTCACAGGTCCATAATCAGCCATGGCTATCATCTGGATCCCAAGGGAAACCTCCTCTGCCTCCCCCTTCGTTTAGACCACAGATTAATTCACCATCCTTGCAGCAAAGGTCACATATTCCTCAGCAACATCATTCCTCGCCAACAGTTCCTCAACAACAGCATGTATCATCTCCACAGTTGCCACAATCTTCATCACTTCAGCCCCAGGAGCATTTCAGACAACAAATGTCACCTACGCCAGGACCCCCTCAATCTTTACCCCATCAACAACCTCCGCGAGCTCAGGGTTCTGTAAATCAAAAGCCTTCTTCGCTTGCAACAGTACAACCAAGCACGGTACAGTTGGTGAACCAAAATAAAGCAGCTCTTACAGAAACTGACGAGTCTGGTGGCAAGATTCTTACCAAAAGAAGCATTCATGATCTACTTAACCAGGTGAACTATCTGGACCTAGCTCTGCATTTTGGTTCCTTACGTTTCAGTATCTTAATATCTTGCCAGCTTATTCTATTATCATCCAAATCTCCTTAAATCTGTTGTGCTATACCCATTAATTACTCAAGTTGCCCTTCATATTATTTGGTTTATATTAAAGAGATTTTGTGTTATACCATTTCAACATTTGTATGTTATCAATTTGTCTCTATAGATGACCATATTCAAATTTGTGGTCATCTTTGTGGCCCAGGGATGTCCAGCATTTTTGTTTAGATGAATGTAATTTTCAGAATATCAGTTTTGTCTAGGCATTTATTGAATGGTCTCTTTGAGGTGGGTCTTTAGCATTTCATTTCCTCAAATCCCCCCTACAGAGCTATGGATTTCCATGCTTCTCTATCTTCAAATATGACTTGTTTTATTCTTATGCAGATTGATCCATCTGAGAAGTTGGATCCTGAAGTTGAAGATATTCTTGTGGATATTGCAGAAGATTTTGTGGATTCTGTGAGTTTAACTTTTTATTCTAAGAACTTATCGTGTCTGTATATATACACTTGGGGTTGGGCAGATCTCAAGATACGTAAGGATTCTTCAACTAGGATAAGATTATGTTTATTAAAATTTATTACACCTTGATCAAGCCTATTTTGCTTTATGTGAAAACAATGTAACATTGGATTATGGATTTTGATTTTCCCTTGAAAGGAAAATGTGAACTGAACCTAAATATTTTTCTTCCTGTCCTTTCATGTTTATCATACCAAGGAACATGGTGGGTCAGCTAATTGAGCTTAAACTTGGACTGCGTTGAATTCTTTATAATGTCTTTAAAGATTTAAGAACAATGAGTTTCATTCCCTATCTTAAATGGGGACTGAACTTCTATGAAGAGTGAAACAATGTTGGATGAGAAGCCTTACACTATATTTGCTTTGTTTAATGATGTTTTGCTTTTCTTTTTTCATTTTGATGTTCTTGGTTTTTTCTCACTGCCTTTTGTGTTGGTTCTATGGAACTTAATATTACAATTTCTACTTCATTCTCTAAACATTCCGATAATATGACCACCATCCAATCCTTTTTCATATTCTTTCCTATATCTCTTCAACAGATCACAACATTTGGTTGCTCTCTGGCTAAGCATAGAAAATCCGATACATTGGAAGCAAAAGACATTCTCCTACATCTGGGTTAGTTGCACTGGAAAATTGTTCACTTTGGTTTGTTCTTCTTCTTTAATGTCTAGTACTTCAACTTTTCTTGTTCTATGGCTTGGTACAGAAAGAAACTGGAATATGATTCTCCCCGGATTTACTGGTGATGAGATCAAGACTTACAGAAAACCGGTATGTTATTCTCTTTTATCTATAAAACTGATGCGGTGGTGCACAGTTGTTTACAAAGGGAATCTATTCTTAATCTTATGACTGTTTTTGTTTTTGTTTTCCTTAAGCTTACAAATGAGGTTCACAAAGAGCGGCTAGCAGCGGTAAGTACTTATTTCCCTCTCACGGCAATTATAAACTAACTAAAATGTATTCATCTTTTGAATTTTTACATATTCGGATGTGTGAAGGGATAGATTCTCTGCCCTTGACATTTTGTTAATCTCTGTGTATGGTAACCAAGATGAGATTACGGCTTCCTTTTGAACTTTCCGGTGCCTGTTTCTTGTTGGCAGATAAAGAAATCAATCGTAGTTAGTGAGGCATCCGGTGGGAAGCACTTTCCCAGCCAAGGTGGTGTAAATGCAAAGGGTAACCTTGGAAAAGTGGGTGCTAATATCTTGGGCTCACCAAATGTAAAAATTTGAGAAGTTACACGAGGCTCCTTTTTAGACATTGTTGAATGTTGGAAACAATTTTGCTTTAAAGGTATGAGAACTATTGTGTTAGTCATTATGCCATACCATAGGAGGTGCTCATGAGTCCTGTGCATCCTGCATTTTTTTGTGAGTAATGTAAAGAGCTAGTACTATCTTGCTCTCCGACGATGGCTCGGAGCCGTTTTATCAAAGAGAGATGAACCCGGCATGCGGTTTCATGATTCATATGGACTGATTATTATGCTCCTGATTGTCTGTGCATTATTCAAACTTCTACTTGACGTGCATAAATTAATTTTGAAAATTTTATTTGTATACTTTAACTAGTTGGTTCCCTTCAACTTCCATGAGTTGCTCTTTGAGGGTAGGGCATGTGAAGAATATATTTACTTAATAGGAATCTGACAAGAAAACCAAACCTTGTGACTTTTCTAAAGAGGTAGTGTTCAAACTTACTGGATTGTCTTTTTTAATTATATGTAATAGAATGACATCCTTAACAAATTTTGCATTCCTTCAAGGGATTATAAATTAAATATTAATTCATAATATTAATTTTTTTCAAAAATTGAGATAATATATAGTTTTTTTAAAATAAAACCAATTTTAGGTATCATGGGATGTTTTAATATTCCATATGCATAGCTGACTCTCAAATTTAATTTTATTATGGTTTTAAAAGTATACTTCCAAAATTATTTTTTATTGAGAAATTTTAAAATTCATTTTAAAAAGGTAATTTTACAGGTGTTCAATGGTACTTGGCTCAAAACGATTGACGTTGACTATGATTGATACATTTTTCAAGTAAATATTTTTGAACCTAAAAGCAATTTCGACGGACCATAAAATTGCATGTGGTACATGTCATAGACTATTAACATTAACAAGAATCAAGTCAAACGATAACAACGACATATATGTGAAAGTTTGAACTCTAACATCTTAATAAGTTAAAAAGATTATATTTAAACACTTTAAGAAACCATTATCCAACCATCATGAGATTGCAAAACAATAATATCATATTGGTTGGATATTTTCTTTTTGGCTTAATATAAAAAATAATTGCTTAAACTATCTAAAATTAACTTTAAGTGCTTAAAGAATTTCTCGTTAAAAATAGGTTTCTAACGTTTTTGATGTTATACTTTCAGGTGCCGAACGTTAAATTCGACTGTTAAATGATACGAGTCAGGATTTTAAAAGTTTATTTAAAAAAACACTTCAATTTATTATTTTAAAAAATTCAATATTTTCTTAAATTATAAGAAAACCCAAAATTTCAAAAAACAATCCCTTATCGTCGTCAATCGATCGAAACCCCGGTGGCGTGTAGCTGCTTGAACCCCCACCGACCAACTCTCATGCTTTACGCGGTAATTGCAACAGCTAAATGATTTCGACGACATGCGACGATTCAAGCAGCGATTTTTTCCGTCGTGCGCTTGACTACGGTTAAATGGAGTGTTCGACGACAAAGAGCGATGATCAGGACAACATCGTTGGTGACCTGCGTGGGTAAAGGGTTTTGGACTTAGAGTTTTTAGGAGTCTTTAGACTTTTGAGGGTTATTTTGAAATTTAAGAAAAAATGGATTTTTTAAAATAAATTTTAATTTTAAGTTTCTTATTTTAAAATAAAATTTTATAAGCCTGACACGTGTCATTTAACGGTAAAATTTAACGATTATTACAAACCAGGCACCTAAAAGTATCACTTGAAAACATTATACACCTATTATTACTAAAATTCTTTAGGCACTTAAAGTTAGTAGTTTGGGCACCTTTTTTTCATTAAGCCTTTCTTTTCTAAGTGTTTAGATATATCATTTTTTACTTACTTTTGTTGAGAAGTTAATTACATCATATGTCTCTAAATTATAACCCTCATCTTAAATTGATCCTTAAAATTTTGAATATTCCAATTTCATCCTCAGAACTATGATTCTCATTCTAAATTTGTCCTTAAAATTTTGAATATTCCAATTTCATCCCCAAATCCATCCAAATATGTAATTAGTTTCAACCACAATTTAACCTAAAAAATTCCAGACATAATAACATAGCTTGGTCTAACAATTTTATTAACAAGGGATGTGGTTAGTATATACGTATAGTTTGGGATGAAATCAGAATGTTAAAAAATTTTGGGGATCAATTTAGAATGAATATCATAGTTTGGGGATAAAATCACATGTTCAAAAGTTTGAAGACTAATTTAGAATGATAATTATAGTTTAGGGATGAAATTAGAATATTAAAAAATTTAAGGACTAATTTAAAATGAATGTCATACTTTAAGGATATATGCTGCAATTAACTCTTTGATCAATGATTATAGTTAAGAACCTCACATATGCATTATTATCATCATAGCTAATTTCTTTTGACACTTGTATCACTTAGAATATCTTTTTAGGCAATGTGGATTAAGATTCATAGATCAAAATATAACTCTTAGGAGTCTTCAAAGTCGTCGATAACTGCTCACGATTTCATCAAAAATCATTGACAACTATTCCCGACTGATATTTAAAAAAAAACTCTTTAATTACTACAATACATGATGGTTTCATCTAAAATCGATACTAAATTCATTAAAATTTCAAATCGAGTCAATCGAAATTAAATATTAATAAAATTTTAATCAAATTAAATTCAAACAATTCATAAACTATTTTAACTCGTTAATCACCTTAATAAAGACACATTTTAGAAATGAAAGTCGGTGAAAGGTTTTTTCTTTAATTATAAAAAGAATTAAAAAAAAAGTTTTGATGTGAAACAGGTTGTGTCGGGCGGTGCACGTGCTTAGAATATGCAAATTAAGGTGCGTAGAAATTACGAAATCGAGCCAGCCAGTGACCATAAGAACAAGCCGAATTCCAACCAAACCATGTGCTTCTTTTATAAACCAATTATCCATTGCCATGTGCTTCAACGTGGGTCCAATCCTACAGATCATGTTCTTTTTAACTTAACCTACACCCATGCTATGTGCTTCCATTATACCCACCTTCTAATTATGTCATGTCTAGGACTCTAAATTTGAATAAATTGATGCAAGTTATTTGAGATAAAGTTAATTAATATTCAATTAATTTTTAAATCGAATAGATTAACTTGAGTTTTAATTTGACTCGAATTCTTAAAGAATTAAAATAACTATTTAATACCCAATTCAAAAAGTTTGTGAGTAATTCAAAAAATAACATATTAATTTTTAGATTTTTTAAATTAAATTATTATTAACATTAACATTTGTATGTTCATTTTTTAAAAATTACAATAATATTTTCATGTATTTAATATTTAAGTTTGAATTTGAGTTTGAGTTTCAATCGAACTAATTCTAAGAATATTTCGAGTTCAAATTTCGAGCTCGAGTCAAGCTTCAATTTTTGATTATGAGGCGAAATTGCAAATTTTAAATTCGCAAACTTAAAATCATCTGAATTCAAATCTTACAGAGAGGTCCACTAAAAATCATAAATTATTCAAGAAAGAACAAGATCTTTCTTTAAATAAAGAAATATAATATATTCAAGATAATTATATATTTATAAATATTTTTTCAGTTCATCCTATTTCAACATATCTGAGATGCGATATAATTTTGAAGGATGAATTGACAATTCCAATAAGCTTTTTAATTATTCATCTTAAATATAAAAAATTAATTTATAAAACATCAAATTCTATCATATTCATAATATGATTAAGTAAAAATATTTTATCTAAGTAAATACTTATTTATTTATTTTAATTATTTAATGTATTATTTGAATCATATTAATAGTATTCACTGCCATTTAAAATAAAATATTTTTATTATTGCCTAATTGAAGTGGTACTTAATTGACGTAGGATTCCAACTCAATTAAATATTTATATTAAAAACAGGATCGACACTAAACACCATGATGTACTTACCTACAAGTCTGACATAAGCACATTATTTTTTGGCTTTTTTTTTCCTATCATCCTTTATTTTAATTTTCAGTTGAACTCATCTATTATTATTATTATTTATCTCTTGTACTATTATTCTATCTATCAATTTTTTATATCATCTTACAATTAGAAAAAGATGATACGATCCAATAAAAAGTTAACACGAGTAATAAAAATCAAAATTCTTAAAAGAACAAAATATCGAAATAAAATCATAAAATATTATTTAGAAAATCCTTTAAAATTCAAAACTTCTTGTCATACAAAATTCAATTTCTTTAGATTCTTTTTAATTTTTAATGATTTTGTGGATTTTTTTTAGATAAGTTAAGCATAAAGAAAATTCTGGAAAAATATAGATTCTAAATAATTTTTTCAGATTTTATAAAGATTTATTTTGAGATTTTTCACATTTTTGCGATATTAAGTGTCTTATTGCCCAACTACATCGGGAGTAATAAACTCTGATTCTAGAGCGAGTAATACATATATGTTTCACATACTTTTATAAAATAGTTTATATGCCTAAGATGAAGACATGTTCACTAGTAGAGTTTAATTTATCATTGTCACTTACCCAGTTTACATCGCAATACTCCTTAAAGACTTAGGGTAAAGTGTTTAAGATTAATCTAATGATCACTACTAAGATTATAAGTATATCTATTTAGTTTATTTACAACAAAAACAATATCATATTGAGTATAGTTCTTTAAAAACATTCGACTTTCAATAATTTTAGCATATTCAATTTGAAAAATATTATTTCCTTCATTTTTTTTTACCAAATGCATGCTAGAATCATAACGTTCAATTATTGAATATATATCACTATTCTTTTTTTATTAAACTAAGGTGATTACAAGGTAATATATGTTCTAAATATTTTTCAGCCATTTGACAATGAACATTGAATCACCCTTGCAGTCACTGGTGTTCGAACCCATAACCTCTAAGAACAATAGTGATTCCTTTAACCATCGAGGTAAGTTGGTCCGTGCATATCACATATTCTTCATAGGTAATAAAGTCAAGCCAAAAAATAATGGCTACTCTTTGTCTTTTACTCCTAGGATCTATGGTTAATCATTTTGTTTAGTTTTCTATTTCATACAAGTTCAATTCATTAGAAATTAATAGTCCGATAATGTAAAGTTAACATTATTCATTGAAAAATTTTAATGAAAAATGTAAAAATATTAAATAGAAAAAGAATTTATATTTAAT